GGCTCATGAACACTCCATTGTTTCTCGTCGACAGGTGCTTCTCCCGAGCTTTCCATCAAAGCCGCCATCACCAAATGACTTGTACGTTGGCCTTGATTTAATTTCCACACAGACATAATTTCCAAATACTTTGGTCCATGCTGCTATATATTACGTTTATTTTTTATATATATATAAAAAAAGCTATGGAAAAACCGCTGTGCTGTAGTTAGTTAATGTCCTGAATCACAAAACAAATAGAATTCTCAATGTCAGCAGAATTTATCCAATCAGTAGCTATCAAACTTTAACTAGAATATCAAGAAGGGAAAGACATATTATCACTAGCCAGTAGAAACTAGAAATTAAGTACCTTCACAGCCATTTGCAATTCACATTCTTGGTCATGACATGTATGATACACGGGACACTTGATTCTTGAAATGCTTCATCAACATGCAAAAAAGAGAGCCTTCGACTCCTATCTCTTTCGAGTTTCAACGTAACACAACTTCTTTATCTTTAATCCAAGAGAATGATACAACTATATATCCGCTATCATGAAAAATGAAACTAAATACCATGTGTACTAAGAGGTAAATCTCCATCCGATGGATGCCTATCAGGGACTTGAAGCCTTGCGAACGATCCCTTGATTAAGTCTTGCTGCAAGGTGCTTCTTCACAGTTTTCCATCCAAAAAAAAAAGACATCACCAACATGACTTTGTTAATCTGGGTATGACAAAGGAAGATCAAATGGATCCGGCACTGCTGTACGTAGTGTTTGGCCTGTAACTCCACTTGAACTCAAGATACAATTATAAATCTAATACTAAATGGGTTGCTATATCAAATTTTGACAGGATTATCAAGAGCTGAAAGACAAACTATATCAGACTAATAGAAAGTACATTCCTCGGTATCTTTTTTTTTTTTTTTAAATATATATTAGTATTATTGGCCACCACATATGATCCGTAAGACACTTGATTATTTATTGGCCGATTTGATTCAATTAGTTTTTTCGTTGCTCATATTCTATGTGATGTGATCACTCCTGCATAATTACTTATGTGGGTTTGTATTAAGTCGCCATACAATTAGGCAACTACTACTACCAATATGTTTGCACATTCATCCAATTTCCAAGAGCTGTGCCATTGGGTGAAAGGCGTATTAATTTTTTGCCAGATAGTTAGCTAATTGCACGGTAATTAGTAGTAAATTGTACTAGTTTGGTGATTTAGTAATTGGAAATCAGCTGTGATTATTAGATTGGGTTAAGTGGAAATATGGGAACTGTATATGTACCGTTTGTTATTAGTTTCTGAGTTTGGAAATATGTCAAGTTACCTTCCAACTGTTTAATTTTTTTTTTCCATTATGATCGTGGACTTGTTTAAGATCAGCATTTACTAGTCAAAAGCTGTTATCTTACTTCATATTAGGGACTCAAAGGAATTTAGAGATTTTGGTAGGCCTTTTTCTTCTTCTTCAGGTGGCCCCATAAATTAGCAAAATTGCATGTTTGGTCCCCTTTTAGTAAAGTGGGTAGGCTAGAGAAGCAATTCTCCTATAGGTGGACTTTTTTGTCTTTTTAGTGGCTTTTGTGGCCCGTGCATGTTATTCCATTATTGCCCTTGGATACCTGTTTAAGCCCTGGATAGTCAATGTAAAAGGAGGTAATGGAGCTAGGTTTTTGGTCTTTTGGTGCATTAAATTTTCGAGATAAATATTAATTCTATGGGGGTGGAGTTTTTGCTGGCTTTATCGGCTCCGTCTGATTGTGCCCGGACTTTGATCTAACGGTGCATTACGTGATATCATTATGAAAATAGTTTCTGAGTTTGTCCGTTGGTTAAATTTTTTTTTTTTTTTTTTAAATAGTGGGGTTTGTCGTTGCTTACTGTTTTCTTGCATTGGTGCTTTAGCAGAAACTTTGGAATCTAAAACAGGGAGTCGTCTGTACTTAAATTTTATTCTTTTGCCTGCTTTGTTTGTTGCTTCTACTTGGCAGGCAGTAAGATAGATAGTTGTTTACTTGTTTTATTATTGGAATTACTTCCAATGATTGTCCAAGTGTCCAACAACGGGATATGCTTCTTTTGTTGGATGAGTTTCTATTTACCAAATGTAATATTGTAGCTTTTGTAGAAAAAGCTAATAGCTAATAACATGTTTGGTTTCATGTGATAAATTCTGCACTGCATGCATCTAAGGAGTTTGGCTAATATGTGGTTTTTGATCCATTTTCTACCTTCTTTTTACTTATGCTTAAACATTTTTCGTGAGTCCTATGCACTGCATTACTTGGGTATTTTTACTTAGAAATATTGTAAGATTCATCTCATGTATGGAACTTGAAAAGATTCTTATACAAAATTATGATTTGAGAGATAAAGAGTTATTAATGAGTTTGATTGTGTAGCCAGTTGTGTGATTTTTTATTTTTTATTTTTGCATAAAATACATTTTTTTAAAAAAAAAAATTAAACTATTTTAAAATGTTACATACATTATGCCACAAAAAGTGTTACGGCATTATTTTTAAAAAAAAAGTCAAAATAATCTTCTACTAAATATTTTTCTTTCTATTGAGAAGAAGGTGTGATTTCTTGGCATGGAAGTAGACTATTTTCTTAGCACCAAATTCAAAAGAAATAATCTAACGGAGCTATATGTTATGGTAATCGTTTTTCATACAAAAGTGAACAGGTATGTTTGAATAAGAGATTATTTGAAATAATACTGCATTACTTTTTGTAATGTGATGTACGTGAGATTAAAAAAAAAAAGCAGTTGAAAGTTGTGTTTATGATGTTTTTTTTTTTACTAATGTTGTTCGTCATGTTCCCTATTTAGTCTTGTAATGCTGCCTTTTAAAAAAGGCAAATTGGTGTTTGTAGGAGTATTAAATTGGCAAAACAGCTTCTTTTAAGATAGCATTTAAAAGTGGGTTAATTCCACTTTGTCCCCCCAAACTTTGGACGATTATTCACTTAAGTCCCTAAACTTCAAAATGGGACACTTAAGTCCCTAAACTTATAAATACCTCCCACTTAAGTCCCTGAACTTATAAAATAGGACACTTTAATCCCTAAACCCTCATAAAATGGGACACTTCGACCACCAACGGCATTCATGATTTGTTAACAATTTTCCTTAAGTGGGAGGTATTTATAAATTTAGGGACTTAAGTGTCCCATTTTGAAGTTTAGGGACTAAAGTGGGTAATCGTCCAAAGTTTGGGGGGACAAAGTGGAATTAACCCTTTAAAAGTGGATGTGTGTTTTTGTATCTTTGGATTTGATACAGGAACGACAAGTACTCGGACTCTCTTCTCCCATCCTCCTTACAAATACGTTGCGGTTGCGGTTGCGGCGTGGACATTGTTGCTTTATGTGTTTCATTGCAGAGTGTAACCACTGTAACACGACATGATTGATAGCATATTTTTGTGTGTGTAGTTTGAAAGGGATTAAAGATTGATTTGTTTTGTGTGATTCAAGTTTCTAGTCGCTCAATTATTCATGTTTGACTTCAGCTACAATCCATGACCAAAGTTACTTGGCAATAAGCTGCATGCTCCCACAGCCGTTATGATGATATATTTTTCAAACATAAGGAAATGAACGATTGGGTTATACTTATATACTTACTATATATATATATATATATATATATATATATATATATATATATATAAATCGTGCTTAATTACTTTTTTTATCTCACTCAAAGGAAACAATCCGTGCATTGTTAAACCATCAAGTAGCAAGAGCTTGTTTTCCACACGGCTGCAAACGAAAGTAGAGTCGAGTTTTGGCCTAATTGAGTTGACTCTTAACTTAGTTTTTTATCGAACTCGAACTCGACGAGTGAACAATTTTGAAATTTGAGTTCGAGTTCGAACTTGAAAAAATAAAAAATAATTATTTTATTTTTTAAAAAATAAATAAAATAATATTAAAGTTGTATATGTAATTATATTATTAAAATATAAAAAATAAAAATATATATATATACATATAATCGAGCTTGTGAGTCGACTCGCAAACTAACGAACTTAATATTTTAAACTCGAGTTCGACTCGGCTAATTTGAGTTCAAGTCGAGCCGATTCGTTTGCAGCTCTAGTTTTCCAATATCAACGTCCATTTATTAAGCATAAAAAATCGCACGTATTGGCCTCTTGTTTTTTCTTTATTAATAGTGGTTTAAATTCCTCCACGTAGTATAACATTTTCTTGGGTCTCTTCCGTCATATCAATCGACTCTCTCAAAACCTTTTTAAGATACTAATACTATAATAATACGTGTGCTCCTGCAAAAAAAAAAAAAAATTACGTGTGCAGATAAAATACTTGATCACCGCCTTAAACCGGGACTCTGCTACTAATTTCCAGAAACTCCGCCTACTCTCCTTGTGTGTGACAGAGTCCCATGACTAGGGGTGTAATCGAGCCGAGTCGAGCTCGAGTATTGCTCGAGCTCGACTCGACTCGACTCATATACACCAAAGCTCGAGCTCGAGCTCGAGCTCGAGCGACCCCAAAAAATCGATACTCGAGACTCGACTCGAAAAATTTCCTTTAGGCTCGAGACTTGACTCGATACTCGAGGCTCGAAAATTTTTTTCATTTTAGGTCTTTTTACAATTATGTTATTACTTTTTTGCCATTATAGGATTTTATTATAAAGAATGATATATTGTAAATTTCATATAACTTATACCCATAATGGTCATTTTATAATTATAATACATATATATTATTTAAATCATAAATATATTATTTAAATAACTCCGGCTCGTCGAGCTACTCGACTCGAGCTGGGCTATTTCGACTAGAAACTCGACTCGATTTTCATTCGAGTTACTCGAAACTCGGCTCGAACTCGGTCAATCCGAGTTCGAGCCGAGTCGTTGACCGAGCTACTCGCGAGTAGGGTACATCCCTACCCATGACCACGAGTCAGTCTGCTGGCTATATTATTTATGTTACCAGATACGGAGATGTAATGTCATAAGAAAAAAGGTTCTCAAAATATCAGACCAAAATTAACAGAAAAGTTTTCCTAGTCTCTCCTCCATAGCTACAAATACTTAAAAGAAAAGTTTTCACCAACAATCAAGAGGAACGAATATGGCAATTGCAGCGAGAGTTGCTTCGACACAGCTGCCTTTAACTTCTTCAGCTCTTAAAGCATCGCCAATCCACGCGGCGGCCACTGTACTGTCGTCTTCTTCTTCTCCTTCTCCGACAAGATACGGAGGTGCACAACCGCCAGCCACCGCCAGGGCAGCCGAGTATGCGATCTCCAAAGTTGATGACTTGATGAATTGGGCTCGTCGCGGGTCCATTTGGCCCATGACCTTCGGCCTTGCTTGCTGTGCCGTTGAGATGATGCACACTGGGGCTTCCAGGTACGATCTGGATCGCTTTGGGATTATTTTCAGGCCCAGCCCAAGACAATCTGACTGCATGATCGTCGCTGGTACTCTTACCAATAAGATGGCTCCAGCGCTCCGCAGGTAAATTTTCCATCATCCTTAAATTGTTTGCTAGCAAGAGAGAATAGTGAAAAGATGAATTGAGTAGTAATTAAATTATCGCTTTTGAGTTTTGATGCTTATTTTGTTGATTTTCCTAAAAAAAACGTTCAATATATATGTATATATATATTGTAGGGTGTATGATCAGATGCCTGAGCCAAGGTGGGTGATATCAATGGGGAGCTGTGCAAACGGTGGGGGATACTATCACTATTCCTACTCGGTGGTGAGGGGATGTGATAGAATTGTGCCGGTCGACATATACGTGCCCGGGTGCCCCCCAACTGCCGAAGCTTTACTGTATGGGATTCTGCAGCTCCAGAAGAAAATTAATCGGAGGAAAGATTTCCTTCATTGGTGGACCGAGTAGTGAGTAATTCGTAAAGATGGAGAATCACTCTTCCATGATTGTCCAGGACCAAAAACCTGTCAGGGTTTTTGAATCCTGTGGAATAGAACCACCACCGATCTTAGCTATTTTGCTTTGATGTTTAATGTAAAATATTCGTGTGGTTTTCGGCTGTGTCCTGAAACTTGTAGCGGGCCATTATCTTCTATGGAGCAGTCTTGAAGAGAGAGGTTTCGTCTACTATTAATTTTGTGAAAATTCAGATGATGTCATGTAACAACTAGATTAGAAGCATCTAAAATGCAGGGAGTGAATATTGACGATCTTTTCTATTGCAGGGAGTATAAGCTTCATATCATGGTATAGAATTTGATGCTCGCTTAATGGCGTGGAATTTGATGCTCAATTAACGACAAACAAGTTCAACTGAATTGTTTGTTAGGTCTTTGAAATCCAACATGGAATGCATTTAACAAGTTGCTTGGCGGATAGCAGTATGCAACTTGGTGCGAATGTGTACGTAAGAGAAGGTTTTGGCCCAAACTCACAATAATGCTGCTCGAGTGCTGCCTTCGATGTCAGAGACAGCAGCAGCAAATTGTTCCTAGATGAATTTCGTGCGTTTGGGTCCGAAAGTTGCTAGAATTATTAGTCGAAGGTGGTAAATGAATAATCAATTAAACTGGACAAAAATTGATGTGCAATGCCAACTACCACCACTACTAAAAATGTCTCGTGTAATTAATTAATGGACAGTAGTAGTGCTTCTAAGTCTAATCTGGGATTCGATTTGGGTCAAAAACTGACAAGTATTATTCCTATTGTAAAGTGTGGGGCGGGGGGGAGAAGACGGCAGAAGTGAGTGAAATGTGAGTCGGGTGGAAGAAGCAAGGCGCAGCAGAGGGAGCCGCGTTGCACGCGGGTTCGCACACGACGCGACAGGAAAGAAGTGGATACGACAGCTTCAATTTCTGTCAATCGCTCTTTCTGTCATTTGGGGGTGTCCTCAATTACTTCATGGGTCCCTAATCATAATCCAATATCTGCACGCCCAATTTTAAGACCCCTGATATAGTAGTAGGTGTCATTAGCTAATTCTTTTTTTTTTTTTTTTTTATCGACACAGGGTGTCCGAATCAATCTTTACGGGTCCGACTAATCCCCTGCGTCCCGGATCCGGCGCCCCAACCCGGCCCGAACGCGTTAATTCATTAGCGTTTTTCTAAGCTAAAAATGATGCTCAACTCAACCTTTTATCGTGCCCCTGTCTTTTATTTCTTTATTTGGTTAGTAATGATTTTGCTGTCCCTTTTTAAATTAAGAAATGTTATTTTGCAATTCTATCATTTATTTTATTATATGATCTAACAAATAAAAATTATATGATTAAAATAACGATAGAAATGTGACTAATAAAAATAGGAATGCAAATAATATTTCTCTCTTTTTTTTTGGCAAAATATTTGTTCTGTCGAACAAAAAATAACTCAAAATAATTATAATGAGTTCTCGAGTCCTTTAGTTTTTTTGCTCAAATACAATAAAACCTTGGTTGTTTCTTCCTTGAAAAGAAACGTATGATTAGTCTTAACTAAAATCATCGCTTCTATGATACTATTCTTAACTATAACCACTTAGCCGGAAGGGAACTTTTCTCGCTAATTGCATGTTTAAGCATTTCAAACCCCCTTCCCAGACCTCCCCCCTCCCCCTTTTTAAGTTGAGGGTTTTTGAATCCATGATATATATGTAAAAATTGAATTTTAAATTCAAAATTTATATAATTATTATTCATCCAACGTTGACAGTACAGTATATACATTGTCATTGTAAGAAAAATTGATCCTTATAGAATTTTTTTAAAATTTTGTATGTAAGGTTATAGAAATTTACTAAAGTCAATATTTTTACCGTTTCAACTAGAGGTGTATTCGAGTTGAGTCGAATTTCAATAATTCTATACTTGAGATCAAACTCAGTGTTATCCTAAGGTACTCAAGTTTGAGCTTGAACAGGCATTCAAAACGAATTTTGATTTCAACTCGACAAAATTGTGGCTCAACTCGAATTCGACTTGAAGTTCTGTCCAAGCCCAAACAAGTTCAAGTACTCAATGTCAAGCTCGAACTTAGAAGGTTGAGCTCAACATTCTTGAATTTTCAAGGTTTTCCTATTTTAAACTTTCATAGTGTGTTTGGATTGTAAGTTATTTGAGATATTTTTACTGTAGCACTTTTTGTGATGTGATGTATGTGAGATAAAAAGGTAATTGGGAAGATAAAAAGATGTATTGAAAATTGTAATGGTGATGTAAGCAAATATATTTGGATAAATAACTTACCATCCAAACACACATATGTGTTTTTAAAGATCTTGAATTTGAGAATTTACTTTTTTTTTTCTGTCACAAATTTATTAAGTAAACTAGTGTTTGGATTGCATTTTTCATGATTTTTCATGAAAAAATTACTGTAGCGATTTGATTAGGGATGGCAATGGGGGCGAGTGCCCGCCCCGCGGGGGGCTCACGGGGCGGGGGTTGGGGCGGGGGGGAATTTTTTCCCCCCGCTTAGAAACGGGGCGGGGGGCGGGGGAGGATTCCCCCGCCCCGCCACCCGCAAAAAAAAAAAATAATATATATATATATATATATAAATGACTATATATTATATGTAAGTTAATTAGTTATAAACTTATGATAATGATATTATTAGTTAGATGTATTATATAATGTATATTAGTTTATGTAATATAATTGATATTATCAATTATATGAATAATTATACATGTCTACTAATAGAATTTATTAATTAGTTATACTAAATTTACTAATACATTTATACTAAATTTCTAATTACACTTAATAGAATAACACTTTTTTCTCAAAAAAAAACACAAACACAATGATGAATTAGTGATTGCATTTGTACTAAAAGTGAAAATTTGACTATTTTAGTTATATTTATTTCATCATATTGGATTGTATTCAAATAACTTCTGTTTGATTGTTTTTATGAGTTTCAATTGTAAAATTACAATGAATAATAATTTGGTGATGTGTTGATATTTTAGTACTTGATTATTTATTAAAATTTAATTATAATAAAATTATATAATAAAATTTTATTAACCCCGCGGGGGAAGCGGGGCAAGGCGGGACGGGGGCGGGGCGGGGCGGGGGGAGCGGGAGGCGGGGGACGGGGCGGGGGACGTGGGGAACTAATAGGCAACGGGGCGGGGGACGGGGGAGGGGTCCCCCGCCCCAACCCCGCCCCGTTGCCATCCCTAGATTTGATGTATGTGAGGGAAAAAGGTAATAGGGAAATGTGATCACGGAAAACGACGTAATTTTCCGACGGAAAATCGCAATCCAAACAAGGCCTTAGTTTTACATAAATTTGCTAAAACACTAATCCAAATTAGTAATTTTGCAATTGATAAAAATATAAATTTTTTATATATACATGCTACTCGATTAAATTCGTTGAACACTCGTATAATATACTTATAATATTCGAACTTGGCTCATCAGCCTAATCAAATAACTTGAGTTTGAACTTGAACCGAGTCAAAAAGAATCCGAACCAATCTTTTAACCAAATTACCGCGAGCAACTCAACTCACGGTCACCGCTAGTTTCGCCTGGTAAAAATTATACTGTACCCTTCAGGTCAGATCCTGAGTATACTACTACTATTCATGCACCCAAGTGAAAACAAAAAATAGAAAAATATATCATCAGCAGTCCATTGGTTGATTGGTTCTGCCTGTCTGGCTTTCACATTGACCCTCTAGCTGTCACTCCAAGGTCTTCCCAGATAGTGATTACACTATGATAGGGTTCTGCCACGTGTTGCGGGTGAGATTGGCTCTGAGGTGACGGACACCCAAAGCTACGATTACCCCTGGGTACTGCACAAGTGGACGGCCATAACACTCTCCCCAGCAAACGATTAACGGCAACGATCAGCCTCATCAATCCTAATGATGCGTCCCTCCTGCCTGCATTTCTCAGTACTGCTTCGTTCGCACGCAAGCTCCCAATTGGCTTGGCGGCTGGGAGTGGGGGATGGCTCGGCTAGGGAAAATGGCGGCTTCTGAACAATAATTACTAGTGTAATTAAGAACGTGATTAGAGCGCAGAGGCACATGATGATCACTTTGAATTTTTTTTTTTTTTTTAAAAAAAAAACTGGTAGTCATCAGTATCACTAAAAGCTTTTAGTCAAGCAAAGGACCCTTAATTGCATGATTTCTGGCAAACTTCTACTTTTTTTAGAAAGGATATTAGGGCGTTAACAGGTCATGTCATCGTATCTCTTGTGACTAAGACATTCCTTAATTCTTTTAACGCGCAAGAGTTGACCAGATAAGAAAATTAATCACTTGGCAAAATCTGTTGCTCACGACTTGCTATAATATGCATAGGATTTTGTAGCGCTGTATTTACATCATATGATTAACATCATATATATATCACCAAAGCAGCTCTCTGATAATGACATAATAATAAATTTGTTAATCTTATATACATGCTATCATAATTAGACATATAATTTAAATTTTAATTAATTATCATATATTCAATGATAATAATAATAGTATATACACTATCAGTATACAGAAACTTCATCCATAATAAATTATAACAAATGCGAAATAAACTCACTTGTAAACATGTTACAACAGTTGCTTGAGGGAAAAAAAATATAATAAAAAAATGTGGATATATTGGTCATGCGCCCACAATAGTAGTTAGTATTTTTTTGGTCAAAATAAAATTACGCACTCCCAAGAAATTCTCCATTCCCTGCGGTCTCTGGACCTCTAAAATAAGTTTGAAAAGTAAAAAAAAAAAAAAAAAGCTTGAAAAGTTTTGGATTTAGATATGAGTTTACAAAATTAGTGCCTTCTTTGTTCAACAATTATAAAGAACTAACAAAAGTTGGTGATTGTCTTTTCTAGATATAATAATGGTTTAATCAAATATCATGCATAAAGTTAAATGAGAAATTAGGTCGAAAGACAGAGAAAAAATTGGCGACAACTTCTCACGAGGCTTCACAAAATAACAAGTCGACGTCCGGTTTTCTTTGGTTAATTAGCAAGAGGCCTGAATGAATGATTGGTGATCAGATTCTTTATACAAACCTTTACTTTGTTCGATTACAATAATTTAATTGCCTCGACTAACTAAACTCCAAGACCGGCTATGATTCTTTAGAAGAATCGAAATGATTATGGCTAGAGCACTATCACTAGGATAAAGCAGTGAACATTGGCAGACACTCACTCGAACTGCGGAACTGTCTCGACGAAAAATGTTTAAAAAGAATTGACTGATATTGTGCGTATCTAGCCATATTATTGGTGAGTCTGTGCTCGCGCCGCCGGGGAGGGGAGAGGGTCGCTTGTGTGTGGGTTCTTCAATTTAGACTTAAGTTTCATGGGAGTATCGCTCCGTCACCAATTAGTTGGACGTGAGTTTTCTATGAGTCCCGCTTAGGTTTAATAGACGTTAACTTTCGAGTGTTTCTAATCTAATAATTATGTATGTGTATGTGTGTGTTTCTATCGTTTTCCGGAAAAAGATATTGTGCGTATCAATTTTGTATATTGTAACAGCATGGACACTTTATTCTTTAAATGCATGTCACATAAACTCAATTCAAATTTAAATATCATTTTTTTACAATTATAAGAAAAAACAAAATATATTTCGGTGGTTAAGAGCAATAATCATTAAAATAGACGCTCGTAACAGCATGGACACTTTATTCTTTAAATGCATGTCACATAAACTCAATTCAAATTTAAATATCATTTTTTTACAATTATAAGAAAAAACAAAATATATTTCGGTGGTTAAGAGCAATAATCATTAAAATAGATGCTCGAAACTTCCGCAGATTACGATGGTATTAACTAAAGTGATATTAACAATGCAAAATTACCCCCAAAAAGCTTGTTTCAATTGTGATTTCTTAATAAACAATGAAAATCTTTTTTTGACATATGCTTCAATCACATTTCTATATCACATACATCACATTGTTATAATAAATTTTTTAATAAAAACTCAAAAAACTTGCAATCTAAATCGATTTCCACCCCAAAATCATATATATATATAGAGAGAGAGAGAGGTCTATGTAAAGAATAGAATTTAAAAGGATTTTTTTTGAGGGAATTCGAACAAAAAATTTCTTTCATAAACATATTTTTTAATCACTTTTGCACGTTATATATATCAAATCACTATAATATATATATATTTTTTAAAAATTCAGCTAATTACAATCCAAATAGGACACAAGTTTATTGCAGGATAATCCAAACAGGACCCAAGTTTATTATAGGATAAAGTAGAGTTAGTTGTTCATTGCTTCATTGCAGTGACGCTCTACATGTAAAAGTTGGCTTTAGCCTTTGGCCAATCCAAAGCTTCGACTCGTATCCTAGTAGTAGTAGTATTTGACTGACTCAAACAATTCAGTGTTTGATGATGAGAGAGGCCGTGGATGGGGTGAGTGGCTACACTGTGGGACTTCACTATACACAAGTGTGCATTCAACTAGCTTGCATCGTGAGCCGAATATGTTAGACAAAAATCTCCTCTCCTCCTCTTTCTACTGCTACTACTATTACTAGTACAGTAGTACTGGTATTCTCTCACTATATGATGCGATCGCTGTTGTCCGGTCGTCACTTTCACGCGGACTTCCATACTTCATTTACATCAACCAATTCAATACCACTCCCCCCCCCCCCAAATATCTCTTCTTGTCTTCTTTCTATCCGTCTTATATCGCTTCTTCTTCAATTTTCATCTATTTTGCCAGAGTCCCACCTCCAGTACCATCTCTGGATTCAATCTCTTGCTGAGGGATTAGCTCTCTCTCTCTCTGCTTCGAGATTACAATTTTATATGATGCCTAAAGCTTCTGCCTTGGGGCTTTGGACGCGGAACAAAATTTGACCTTTTTTGTCACAGTTTTAGTGGTGCTCCTCTCCTTTCTTGCTTTTTTCGCCACTTCCCAAGCCCAAAAGGCCAACACCTCACATAAACCGTAATTCGTAAACGTTCAATCAACTTCAATCCTACCACACATAGACCAAATCCCAATCCTTTTCCCTTCTTTTCAGGCAACCCAAAAAAAAAACAAAGGAGAACCCAGTTCACAAAATCAACCAAGAACCACACTTTGATCCCAAAATTCGACCTCTTTGTCCGCTTGCTGTTATAAAGATCTAATCTTTGATCTCTGTAATCAAGGTTTTCTCGATTGTGGTCAGCTTCTCAAACTTTAAAATTAGCTCAGAGTTGAACAGTTTTCATACTAAGATTTATTATTTCCAAGCAGAAAATGCAAGACCCGTCGATATATTCACAAATGAAACCGCAATTTCCAGAGCAAGAACACCTGAAATGCCCGAGATGTGACTCTGCGAACACAAAATTCTGCTATTACAACAACTACAATCTCTCTCAGCCGCGCCACTTTTGCAAGAACTGCAGAAGATATTGGACTAAAGGCGGTGCTCTCAGAAACATCCCTGTCGGTGGTGGCTCCCGGAAGAACACTAAACGCAGCTCATCAACTACCAAACGCTCTTCCTCAGCCACCTCGGCTGCCCCGTCTACCTCCCCTTCCTCAGCCGCTGCAGTCTCGTCATCATCACCACCTCCTTCTACCACTCCTCAGACACTGCCAAAAACAGAGCCTTATGGGCTTGCTCCGCAGGCACTTCAACCCGGTTTTGATCAGGACCGCAGGATGATTCTTGATGTGGGTGGGAATGGGAGCTTTAGCTCCCTCTTGTCTTCAAATGGGGGGCAATTTGGGAATTTTCTGGAGGGGTTGAATCCAAATGCATCAAATTTGCAGCTCTGTGGGTTTGGTGATCATGGCCCGAATCAAGGTCCGGGTCCGGGTCACCATCATGGTGATCCACATGCGGGTTTGCAAAATGGGAGTAATTCTGAGGAGGGGTTTTTAAGTAATCAGGGTAATGGAGACTCTAGCTGCTGGAATGGGAGCAATGGTTGGCCTGATCTTGCCATTTACACTCCAGGTTCCAATTTTCAGTAAAACACTAAAAGTGCCCCACAAAAAGGAGGAAATTAATTGTTGAGAGATAGAGGGTATGTACTTCTAGTCTGCTATCTACTCTTTGCCATATTTAGTAGTCTTACTAATTTTGATAATTCCAAGAGCATGGATAGAATACCCTTGTTGAGAGTGTAATCAAGGCTAAAGGGGAAGGTGGGCGTGACCGATCAATGCCTAGACACCCAAAATTGGAAACAAGGACCCCCCCCCCCCCCCCAAAAAAAAAAAAAAAAACCCCCACTAGTGCTGTAATAGGGGCATAACTCCGTCATTATATAGTAGTAGTACAATTAATTTTTACCCCCTATTATTTGGGCTCTATACTCTGTAGCTAATATTATATTATTGTATCTTGTGTTTTGGTACATATGGAAGGAGAATTACATATTTCAAAACTCTTTCTTATTGTGATGTTTGATTTGGTATGTGGATGAGATTTAGATAGGTGATTATTGGAAATATTAGTTGAAATAATACTCTTCGCAATGTAATGCATGTGAAGTAAAAAGTGTGTTGAAAATGTGTTTTTGCGATATAAGCAAATAATTTATAGCTATAATTGGCGTTATGATGCGTTGTGCATGAATTCCATACTTTCTTTCCTCTTTCTTTTTAGTTCAATTAATTGGTTAAACATGCATACTATTTACGTAAGCAAATGGATGCTGCAAAACTCGTTTAATGGTCTTTTTTTTACGTCCTGACAAGTAAGAACAAGTTTGTAGATGATGTAATGTTTTAAAAGGCAAAAATTGACATTGTTGTTGTAAAACAATTAATATAGGTGTCATAATGTTACTGTCATTTGGCCACTGTATTGTATTATAGTACTATTTTGACAGTGGAGGAGAATGAAATTACGGTTTGGTTTTGCTTCTCTTGACTGATCAGGCCTTCTTGTTAGATAATTTAATTCAGTATTTAAACTTAATAGATTCAGATTTTAACATATTCATATCGTCTGATAATAAAAATTGAATATCTAAATTAATTAAGTGGCATTGAATTTTTTAGACAAAATTTGCTCTCAAAATTAACTGAGAAATTCTTCACTTATCACTACTGAATATGATTTGCATTCAAATATATTAGATTTAATATTTAATAATTTAAAATTTTAATAAATTCAGATTTCGATTTTATCAAACGCACCGGACTCTTACAAATAATGAAATAATAGCAAGTGGAGTAATGCCAGTGACATATCAGACGACACATCTAGATGTATTTTGTGAATCAAAATAAGACTGTAGAGAAACTTTTGAAAATGTTAGGATAATTTCGTCCACTAGATAATGGGCAGTATTCGTGGCAACCGTTAATAGGAGTAGCAGACTTTGTTATTAGTGTTTTTCCATAGTTTTGATTAGTGGCTTATATTAGTTGACATTAGGATAATGTGATGGTGTGGGTAGAAAATTGATATTAAATATCGCAAGTAGTTCATGAATGAGTTCAAGTCCGCTTGGGGTGTCTTCAAATTGGTCGACAAAGTTGAACTTTTCTCGTTTATAGTTATTTATTAGTCTCACATATCCTTGTTGCTTCTTTTTTTTTTTCTTTTTTTTTTTTTAAAATTGTAGCTAATTTACTTTGACCGGTTTGTTTGGATTGCTCAACTCTGGTTTACTTCCAGAACATATATATACTTTCGAATTGTGTGCATGTGGCAAATTAACTAACGCAGAAAAGTGGATTTTGTCATTTCTTAAAGGATTAATCTGTTAGTGTATATACCATCTTCATTAAATGCATAACAGCTTATTGAATTTAAATTTAAAATCCAATTTTTGCTCGGGTCATGTGTTCAATCGATTAAATCAAATAAAAAGTAGACAATTAACGAAACCATCGAATGTTAGTTCGTTACTTCTTTTAGCTTCATGCAAACACCAGACGCGTACATAAATGTTCTTGAGAATCTCATTCTATTGGGAGGATTAATTACCATCAGCATTCTTACTAACTTGGGGACGTAGGAAAGAGTTAATCTTGTATACATCGATTGATTGTGTATATATTATTATCGTTGGTTGGATGTATATGTTCTTGTATTGATAGATTATTAGGGTATAAAAATCGTGACTTCTTTTAGCTTTACGGAAACACCAGATGAGAGTGTATATATATATATATATATGTATGTCCTTGAGAATCTTTTATTCTGCCGGGAGTATTAATTACCATCAGCATTCTTACTAACCTGAGGATGCAGGGAAGAGTTAATCTTGTATATATTGATTGTGTGTATATATTATTATCGTTGGATGTATATGTTTTTGTATTGATAGCTTATTAGTGTATAAAAGATTTGTCTGTCTATTGATCTCACTAGTTATATGTTACTATTTATTAAGGCTCCGATCGAATCTCTGACCAATTAAAGCACTAAAAGGCGAGATGAGTTGTGACATTTTCAAGCGCGAATTGGAGGAAGAGTGATGAAACAAATTTACCCAATAAGAATGATGGATTGCCGGCACGATATACTCCTATTCATTATTCTTAGGCTCAACGTTTTACCTGTTTGCTTAGGCCATCAGAGCATTTTACGAGCTACGGTAGCCAGTGATGATGGCTTAACATCATTGTGCTACACCTTGCTTTATGACTCATAATTAGGTGGGTTTTTTTTTTTTTTTTTTATTTCGGATTTGTTTGGTAACAAGAGGATAAGAATGAAGGCTTTGTATTTAATTTTTGGACCTAATGAATCCTTTGCTGCAAATAGGATGGTAGAAGCATAGTTATAATTCCGGCCTGACCAATTTGGTCAGAGGATCGGTGTGGGTTGCTAATTAAATTAATTAAGTAAATTTGTTGATCAGTCAATGATGATTTGATGGTTCAACCGGTGAATTAAGAAAAATTGTTGGTTGAATCATTAACTTAAAAGTTTTATTATTTTTAAAATTTAAAATATATTATTATGTGATATAATATAATTATTATACAACTTGCTGTTGAATTGCTCAATCCGCATTTGAACCGGTGACTCGGTCACCTCGAGTTGAGTTTCGGTTGGATTTAATTACTATAGGTAGTTTTTAAACTCGGGATAGTTATATGAATCGGATGGATTTTCGATTCACGATTCAATCTGGTTCAATTGGTTGAATTGGGTTCAATCGGTTTAACTTTGCTCAAATGTTTCTCTTTTTTTATTCTTTTATTTTTATTTATTATGGAAATTGGATAACTTTAAAATAAATAAAATAAAATAAAAATTTGGGTTAACCGATTCAAAAGTTGGATTTTTATTCGATTATGATTAGCAAACTAGTTCTCAATCAAGTTTGGTTAGTTTCAATTAATTTTTGGATTTTATTAGTGGATCGAACTGATTTAATGGTCAATTCACAATTCAATCGGTAGAAACAATGAGTCCGATCTGATTTTCAAATCACTTGGTTTGTTTGGATTGATGATTATTTGTCAAAATTTATTTACTTACATCATCATTACAATTTCTAACACATCTTTTTATCTTCTCAATTACTTTTTTATCTCACATACATCACATCACAAAAAGTGATACAGTAAAAATATCTCAAATAATTTAGTTGACTAGGCTAAGAATTTGGTTATGGTTTAGTGTTGAGATTTAAAAAATTAAAGGTTACTGAGTTTAAATCTCTCCTCTTTCTATTTCTTAAATATCACCCTTTGCTACTAGAAACAAAAAAATTTTTAAAAAAACTTGACTATGATTTAAGGAAAAAAAAAATTCCCCATCTTTTATCCTAGAGAAAATTAACTCAGCCAATTTTTTTTCTTTCTTTTTTTTTTTGGGGCTGAGAAAAGTCTATTGAGGTTGTCTCAGGGAGATCAATGGAATAGGATCGGTGCAAATGGTTTGTTGCAATTACTACCATTGGCTACTTGTCGAATTATGGAAAAATCTTAACTCGGGCATAAAGGCCCACAAGCCATGACGTGTATTTAGATGGACCACGTTCACGATCAGGTTTTAGAATTGCATCGCAAAGAACCCCCTTGGGGTGGGCCTTTGAAAGCCTCAAGAGGACACAGGTCATTCACGTCAACGTGGCAGTGGGTAAATGTGGCCCACAAGCATCTCTCTCTAATCCATGCCAATATTTCCATTTTGATCTTTTTCTTTTGTCGTTACTTGCCCTCCTACAACCTCTCCTTCCCTGAGTTGCCATAAAGTACAAGCTGTTAGTATTTGTTAGTCGGAATGCTTGAATCTTATTAGTATTAATCTTCTATACACTGATAGTATACACACTTTTATCATTAAATGCATAACATATGATACGAATTTGAATTTAAAACATAAATTCTGCATATGTGTCGTATATCTAACTGTGATAATGTATACACCGTCAGTACATATAAGATTTACTCATATTATTATACCTTCTCAAAAAGACTCAAAAAAAAAAAAAAAAAAAAGAGAAGAAAAGCCTTCACCTCCAAAATCAAATGCACTAGAGAAAGTGTGGAGAGGTGTACGTTGACAATGTGCAAAGAGGCTTACCAAAGGTCTTGGCTGTAATAAATGCTGCTAATTGTGTCAGTACAGTACTGGACATATTGTTGCAAAGTCAATTAATTGCCTCAGTTGTTGACCTGCATGCAATGCAAAAGGTGTACTGTAATTGCAATCGGAATTTGCCCCATTTTCGGGTGCAACCAACAGTCAACAGAGAGAGGAGTAGAAGAAATGAATACTTTTGTTGTAGTACTATAAATTGACTTGAGAGATGAAAAAGTTAAAATGATTTTCTTTTTTCTTCCTTTTTTAACGGAAAGTTGATTTTGGTCCAACATTTCTTCCATGTATGTCTGACTAAAAGAATATACAATACAGATTTTGCACACAGATTCTGATCATGAACCTCTTAATAGGGATTTCTATTTTTAGGGTTTGAGGGATTGAGATAACAGTTCATGATGGGAGATAAATAATTTCAAAATTGGATGGTAGGGTTGAGAATTGAGCACAAAATTTTCAATAAATAATAAATTTTGTTATGTTTTTAGATGTTATTTGAATATCTGTTTTCATTTGTTCAATTTGTGTTCACCATTACACGTGACTTAAAACAAATAATAATACTCCCTTCGTCCCACTTTAATAGTCCTGTTTTCTATTTTCGTATGTCCTAAATTGTAGTCCACTTTCCAATTGAAGAATGTAGTTGTATTTTAATTTTTCTAAAATACCCTTATTCAATGTAAGTTGTTGTTACTATAAACCTATTCCATTTAAGGAGAGTTGATTCTTTTTTTACCATCAATTCAAGTTTCCATAAAGTTATATTCTAATTAATGTGAAGGTATTTTAGGAAAATAGCTACCTAAATTGATTGTTCCAACAAAGTTAACTACTTTTTATTAAACTGTGTGAAAAAAGGACCAAAACTGTCAAAGTGGGACGGAGGGAGTAATAAGAAGAGGAACACCATTTGATTTGGCCGACATAAAAAGATCCACTCACTACTTGGAACTCGTGAGCCACTTTCCCTACCCACGCGTGAAAAACCTGGCTCATTCTTGGATTCCATGAAACGGCAAGGAGCATTTGATTACAACCGCAGGAGAGAAGACTATAGAAGTAGAAGAGGAAGTTGGGTGACGGAGTGATGTGTGATGATGAAGGTCCAGGGACGGCAGCCACCCGTGGACCATGAAAATGATTAATGATTCACTCCCATAATAACCATTCATTATCATCATTGTGTTTTTAACTAATGTTTTGCTGCTTTTGATTACCCATCCACTCCTTCCTTAGGCCTTGCACTAATCATGCATGGCTTGAAAATGAAACATTAACACAAATTATTCAACAAGCAGCAGCAGCGCATGCAGTTGGTTGTAGTACCCTACCCTGTGATTCGATTTAATTGGATCTCTCTGCTCAACAAATGTAGGAGAAGAGTTCAATAGAGTGAAAATTTTTAGTAAAATGCGCTAGTTCAAGAACTATTTGAGATATTTTTACTGTAGCACTTTTTGTGATGTGATGTATGTGAGATAAAAAGATAATTAAGAAGATAAAAAAGCGTATTGAAAATTATAATGATGATATAAGCAAATATATTTGAGCAAATAATCTCCCGTCCAAACACACTCCCAATTTACATCAATCAAACGAGGATCATGCAAAGCTTCCCGTAACTCTTCAATGATTGGGCCAATAGCAGAGAGATCATCATCTTTACTATTGATAAGTTGGACAATTCTAGATACTTGACTTAAACTTATTTCTATTTCTTTAGTCCAAATCATGATTTAACAGGATAAAGCTCCCAAAAACAGAAAGAAAGAAAGAAAATAATGGGGTATAAAAACGTAAATTAGCGACAATGTATATTGTGGAGGTTTAAACCCCCAGCCGGTATCCTTGAATGTTGCTTTGAAAACTCCAAACAACTGTCACTGGCTATATGACCATATGAGACAAACCTCAACTATAAACTCATACCACATAAGTCGGAATTGTAACCTAACCATTACTCCTCTCCCATTACTCCATTAGTAGCCAGCACAGAATCGTAAATAGTAGTATCGAAGCCATGCTACGCGGTAATGGTTGAGAAATTTGTGGCGTTTTTTAACTACCGTTTCTATCTCTCTCTCTCAATCTCTGTAAAAGACAGATCAAGTAACGGTGTTTGATCTGTCTTGTCTACCTTTCTAGACTAGTTCAACTAGCTGAAAATAGCTTTTTTCCAAAAGAAAAAATGGGGGATGAAACTGATCTAGGAGTACAACACAGCAATACCTGCTCCAATTTCCATTCATTTTACATCCATATCAAAAACTCCCGCTCACCACACACTACAAACTAATGTACAACTTCCAATTAATAAACCTTGCATGTATAAATACGTGGCCCTTCAATTTACTTTCCCATGCAAAACCCTAAATATATTCATCTTTCTTTCTCCAAATAGGAAACTCGGTTGTATGTTTGCAAAAACGAAGAACAAATGAACATGGGCATTCAAGGCATCCGAACGGCACCTTGGTGCACTGTTTGGGCTCTCATAGCTACCATTTCCATCATCACCTCAAGCCCTCATGTGTCTGCTAAAATGAATGTGATCGACAAATGCTGGAGGACAGACCGTAACTGGCGCAGCCACAGGCACCAATTGGCTACCTGCTCCGTTGGTTATGCTGGGAAAATGATGAGCAACATTGGCCGAGACGTCATAAACTACAAGGTGACTGATCCATCCGACGATGCACTCAACCCTAAGCCAGGAACCCTGAGATATGCTATGACCCATGTCAAGGGAAAGGTTTGGATTACGTTTAAGAGAGACATGAATATTACCCTCCAGAAACCCCTTCTTGTCAGCAGCTTCACTGCCATTGATGGACGAGGTGTTAATGTACACATTTCTGGTGGTGCTTGCCTAGTGTTGCAAAGGGTAATGAACTTGCGTTCTTTTTTCTTGGTTGATTTCGCCAGTCGATTGGTCTGTAGTTTAGTTCACGGTGTGTCTTACATGCACCTACAGATGCTTGCTGGTCAACTTTATCTCTTAAAAATTTTACAGAGCACAGGCCAAGACTAGGAAGTTTTGCCAAACAGCCTTTATCAGGCAGCTATAATTGATGTACGTAGTAAAATTCTAGTATATGACGATTATCATGAAAATGTTATGGGAAATCCTATTCAATCGAAATAATTATGCCAAATTAATTAAATGGGTTCATGATTCATTTCTATCCTTTTATACCTTTAGCGCCAGTCGATAGTATATGCATTATTATTCTTTGAAGTTGTTATACATCTTTGTCTTGACGAAAAAAATTTTTTGACTTAAAAATTTGGTGAAACAGGCGAACAATGTCATCATACACGGTCTCCGCATCCACAATTGCGTTGCTCAACCAGCAGGACCTGTTCTAGGTCCAGACGCCAAGATTGTACATTTGGGACCCGTTGATGGAGATGCTATCAGAATGCTATCGAGTTCTAAGATATGGATTGATCACAATACGCTTTACGACTGCCCTGATGGATTAATTGATGTTACGCGAGGCTCAACAGGTGTTACCATCTCAAACAATTGGTTTAGATCCCAGAATAAGGTCATGCTTTTGGGACATGACGATGGCTTCCGACGAGACAAGGACATGAAAGTTACCGTAGCCTTCAATCATTTTGGTCCTCGCTGCCAACAAAGAATGCCAAGGTACAAAATTCTCTTGTTAGAACTATGATATATACACATAAAGAAGACTCTTATCATGTTATCCTCCATTTTGTGTAATTGGGGGTTTTGTCTGTGTCAGAGTTCGATTCGGATATGCCCACGTTGTTAACAATCTTTACCTGGGTTGGGGAGCATACGCTATTGGAGGAAGCATGGATCCTACGATAAAGAGCCAAGCAAATCTCTTCATTGCCCCAAAAGATGGGAATAAAGAGGTATGTATCGATGAAGTCTTTTTCATCCATTTCGTGCTCCATGGTGTATGAAACTCTCAAGACTTAACAATCTGGATATGAACATCGACAGGTGACATGGAGGCAGCACAACGGAAATGGCATGTCATGGAACTTCTTATCTGTGGAAGATGTTTTTGAAAATGGCGCCTCTTTCAGCCAATCAAGAAGTGGTGGCGGTGTTGCCGTGAGGCCAAACTATAGCGCGGAGCAGATTTTTCCAATAGAAGCAGCAAGAGAAGTGAGGGCATTGACCAAATCTGCTGGTGCCTTGAAGTGTCCAAGGGTATCCAGATGTTGAAACAAGGCTCAACCTGATGAAGGACGCCAATGTGAAAAAGCAGCAGCCTCGAACATCTATTCGTTGTTCATCTTTTATATGATCTTCTTCCCCCTTTTTCGTTTTTTTCCTTTCTTTTCTTTCTGTTTTATGCATGTTATGGCATGGTAGTATTTAACTAGACACAAGCCAGCACCATAACCTTGGATGACCAGAAAATAAAGGACATATATATATATATATATATATGCTTGTAAATACAATTAACTGCTTTTCCGCTCTTTGAGCATACACATTTCACTGATCAATCAATACCATTACGTTTGGCTCCAAGATAATTGATTGACATGATAGTAACCTTTTTCCTTTTTCTAGAAAAACAGAAGAAAAAAAATTCGGGAATCACAGGACCCAAAGAAAATATATGTTTGGATTGCCATTTTCAGCCTGAAAATTGCCCTCTATTTCTGACTAGGGTTTTTAAATTCAGTTGTATGAAATTTTGCTAAGCCTGAATTAACCAACACCCCGCAGACCATCAATCTTGCTGGGTTGGAATTGACCAGATTATGTCTTACTCCGGTTCTGCCAAAAGTTTACCTAAATGCAAAAGTGGCAAAAATAGGCTTTGGAAAATTTCAAAGGAGCCAAAAGTAAAAGCGAGAATAAAAAGGATAACCATTATCTGCAAAATGTCACATAATAAGTTCATCACAGAAAAAGCACAAAGGATTTAGCGTACAGATTGAACATGACTCATTGATATTGACAAAAAAAATAACACAATGGAAGATATGAAGATGTTTATCATACTTCTTGTAATGACATGATCCCATCCAACAACAATCAAAATTACATTGCGACAAGTCGGGCCTTGTACATGCAAATATAAGCCATATGCCAGTCACCTGTGAAAAAAAAAGAAGAAAATTTTAGATAATTTCAACTACCAATACAAGCCGTTTAATTGCTAAAGGCAATCCTTACCCCCTCCTGAAAGCCTTGTGATATCTTCCTCGCGTTGGGGAATCGGATTATCATCATCAAACTGGATCCATTTCCCTGCAATCAAGCTAACAAAGTTTACAAACTAATGAACCCGATAAACATGCAATCAAACAAGATACGAGGACTCACCATTTTCTTGCTTCGCCCATGCAACATAATGCCCCGAGTCAGCACTTCTACCTTTGTGCGTCAACACCGCAACCAGGTCATAAATTCCAGTTAAATGCACTTCTTTGCCTGAAAGGTCACCCAAAAGGGACTCAAGTGAGCTCAAGGTAAGAAAGTAACATATCACGTAATATCTATTTCATGAATTTTCACCATGACGTATGGGGTATAGCCTACAATAACCATTCAGTGCAGGGCACTTTTATTTTATCAATCCAATATATTACCTCAAAATTTGGTTTTACACACTTTCCCCACCCTAGTTATGGGCATGTATTAACACTATACTTATCATCACACACATTTATAAAAAGTACACAGAACACCGAACAAAAATAATCATTAAATGAAATATATGATTAGGCATTAAAATGTTATTTCCCATCTCGATCACCTTGAAGCAAACCATAAACAAATGGATTAAGGCATTTTACTTAACTGTGATCCAGACAAGAAGTAGTTATTTACTTAATGAAGGTAACCAAGTTCTACTAAAACTGAATAACTCAACAACTACCTAAAAGGACCAAAGATTTCACTTTTACCTTCCAGAGATGAATCTTTAGATGTTCCACCGTTACCATTTGCTGATTCCTGAGTATATAAAATAACGTGTTGTATCAAGCATAATTATGTAGATGTGTATCCAATCGTTGGAGAATCTTGCAGATGAAAGAAAGCACCAGTTAGTGGTTTGCTTATATGGATTTCACATGCTAACCTCATTGTCGGTCATCTTGACATCAGTGTCTGAACCAGAGCTCTTCTGATCAACCTTCAGACCAAGTTTTCTACCTTCCTCGTCTCGAAGAATCTAAAAGTTGATAACCAGAATAATTTTCTGAACAAATATTGGCTTTATTTATAAGGGGAAAGAAAGAGGGGTGGGAAATTATATTGCAAAAGAAAACAGGTTATAAACCATCCATAAAGGGGGGCAAAGAATGTACTTGACGAGGAGTTTCCAATCTCTTCCTTAAATCATCTGAACACAAATCAAGAACATCTAACTCCAATGGATAGTCCACCTTCTGCAGATTGGGTGACTTTGTAAGCTAAATAGAAGTCATAATAAAGATTGATAATTCACCACAATCTTTGCCTAGGCAGAAAAACAAAGGACGATTAAAAGGGAAAAAATTACCCGCAAGATTTTTGCCTTCTGATTTGATTCCCTCTTCCAGAAAAAACGTACAAATTGAACAGTCAAATACCTGTGCAGGAAAATGACTGTCTAAGTACAAAGAAGAGAGAAGAAAATACAAGTAAATCTAATACCATAGGAACATGGTAAACAGATCTCTGGGAAGAACAACATTCATGGAAATAACAACCCTGCAAGAAAAACTAAGGGCCAATACATCAAATACATACCTCGGCAAGTCATTAATGCGTGAGTCTTTTACATAAATTGCACTGCGTCCCAAAGCAGGAGAAGCCTTTTCCAGTTCTGATTTCAAACCCTGAATGAATAAATCAATCAAAATAAATGGATTTACCCAAAACTCTATAAATGGGAAAAAAGTTTTTCACACTTTCAGTTAAAAAGGTAAAATTTGTTAGACATATGTATACAGCTGTGTGCAAAGCAGTTGAGCAGCATACAAACGGCTGCTAGAGATGATGTCTCTGAGTCATTCAGGTAAATGTAAAAGGATACAGAGTCAGCACGTTGTACCTCAATAAGTCAGAATAAAAAATAGAAATATATCTTCTAAATGAGAAAAATTAAAAAATTAAAAGAAGCATAATTGGATAACAAATTTTCCTTTTTTGACAGTATGAGCCCCTTTTATTCCAGTCTGGACTGCAATGAGATGAGAAAATCAGTGACTACATTCTTGGCTATTACTTCAATTTGATGCTAAACCTATTTACTAGCTTATCTATCCTTAAATACATTATCAATCTTATCTCTACAATTTTTCAATTTCCCCAGAAAAAGTTGAAAAAGTAAATCTTATGTTGCAAAGTCATGTCCAGTTCTTTTTTTTTTTTTAATGTCCAGCATTGAACCACTGGTTCAAAGGACAAAAAAGAAAACAAAGAGGACCAACAGGTTGAGGAGGGAAATCAAATCAGAAAAGCAAGTTTCTGAAAGTTAAACACACTTCAAAATACTGCATTTTGGAAGTTAGTAAAACTACAGGAGTCTAATTACAAATATCCAGTCATTGAGTTTATGCTTCTGATCACTATTCCAGTTACAAATTGGTGTTTGTTCTTTCCTATTTGTCTACAATTATTGTTTCTGCCCTCCCCCCCCCCCCAACAAAAATAAAAAATAAAAAGAAAAACAAAAGTAGCTGAAGGAGGAGGATTAAAAAAGAAATAAGAGTAGATTCTTCAACAGAATCATAGACTCAAAATTCTTAACAAATAAAACTTACACGTTTTAAGCCCTCATGCAAATGGTTCACCTCTTGTGAAATGTGGCATTTAAGTGAATAAACTGACTCTCTCTCTGTACTTTCTTCGCCACTTTCTGTGCAATGAACCCTGGATTCATAGCCGTGCAAAAGATCAAATAAATAACATCTTACGAGGAACTCCTCAAAGCTAGACAGATACATGTAGAATATTGAATTGTGTGTACAGTAGATAGCAAATGATAACAATGCAGAAAACAGAATAAAGAAGAAAATTCTCCTTATCCAGATCTAAACTTAGTTCCCCAAACACTTACTCCCTCTGTTTTTTTCACTGACAGGTCAGAAACAATGGCCAACAATTTGTCCACCTAAATCAATGCCCTGCAGTTTTTGACCAGTAATTCTTGATATATGTTTTGATAGAGAAACAAAAGAGCCAAATCGCTGGATTAACTATAAAAGGATTAAACCATCACTCAGTAGTCTCTCGATAAAAATGTAAGACCCACCAAACAAGAGAATATATCTCAAACAAACATGTTGCAAGCCAGTGGTAGGTAAGAGGAAGGGTAGTATGTGTGGTTCTTTCATGTGGCTGGGCAGGACAGAACTGATCAAACCCTTACTCAGCAGAAGGCAATTCATGAAGAGAGAAGAACATAACCACTCCAGCAGGAAATCGTAAGGCCAACAGAGAAAAGGTTGCATATTGCAGAATGATGTCAAAATAGACAAAACCAAAATCATAAAAGAAACTTCAACAATTTAAAGCTGAATATACAGCAAAATGATAACCAAAAGTACAACAAAATCAGAATCTAAAGGTAATTTATGTTCCTCACAAAGGCAAGACAAAAATAGGTTGCAACAAATACCAATCAATATACCTGCTTACAAACTCGATACCAAAGAGTGCCTTCACAGTATCCGGCTCTTCACTGCAAGTAACATGATCAAAATGAATGAAAATGGAGGAAAGCCAGCTTGCTATAAGAAATCATAGAAGTGTGTTTGGGAGTTTCAATCTAAATACATCCTCAAAAGTGAATATACAGGGTGGGGTGAAACAAGAGAGTTAGCAAATAAAAGGTTTCAACTAAAAAATAGAATTTCAGCAACCCAGCAAAAGTGAAGAAATTTTAACTTTAGCAAAATAAGTGACCTACCTAGAACTTGATGATTTGAGAGACTGAGAAAGTGTGTATAGAAGTTGTGTCCAGCATTCTTCAGCATCCTGTCATCATTTAAAGATAACAATCAGCGATACAGCATCACAATCACCTAAGAAGTAGAAATGCTTTGACACTGACCAACATCTTCAAGGAAGTTACCCACTTAGAGGTCGGAAATTCTAGTCCCAAAGCTCCCCACAGATCACTCCTACCCTACCCATCCCCAAAAGAAAAAGATGCCAGGTACACTCTTCATGCAATAAATAAATGTATTGGATAATTAAAAAGATCAGTATGATGGAATGCAGGAGAACCTGCTGCATGAAGGCTCCATTGTTCAGCTGGCCAAATTGAGGATACTTCTTCCGCAATACCTGTGAAGAAAGTTTAATTAAGCACACTACATAGACATAAGGATGCTGACAAGGATGTATTCTTCAACTAATTGTTGCTTCCACATAAATGAATTACGATCAAGTGCACTGAATAAAGGAGGTTCCA